AACAAATAAAAAAAAAAGAACATAAATTCTGTAGACAGAAACATGGATTCACATTCCAGCTGTCCCATGTATTTACTATATATATAACACTGGGCAAGTTTCCTAACATTAGTTTCAGCTATCTTAAAAAGGGAGTATCATTATTAGTACCTGCCACAGAAGTTGTAGTCATGATTAAATGAGATTCTATACATTAAGGACTTAGAACCTAGTAAACACTCAATAATGTTATCATAATTGTCTATGTATATTAAGAATGTTTTTAGACATAAATTAGAGAATCTTGAGACAAATTTCTCTTTACTTCTGGTATTTTGTAGATAAGTTAGAAAATCCAACATGCAAACATCACATTTAAAGTTAAATTGCCACCACCAAATAACATTCAATAAAAATAAATATTATCCAAGCAAGCTGGTTTTACAAATTAAATTGCCATTCAATTCGGTAATGATAAAGTACTGTACAAAGAATTACAAAATAACTACCATCTATACCCACAAGGGAGCACACTACAGCCATTTACCACATTTTTTATGGGTTCTAAGTATAATGAAAAACAGACAAAGCATAAGGAAGTAACATGAATAACCAGTTCAAACTAGTTCAGCCATATCTGTGCAAACCAATCAGCAGTAACTTTTTAAAAATCTATTTTGCATAAGGAAAGTATATTTAAGAAAGATACACATTAGAAGAGGGTGTGTTACCTGCAAACAAGTCTCCATGGCTGTACTACCGGAACAATACATTTCTAAGGATCATTTTAAATACGTCATCTGGAACTGAGATGCCATTCACAAAACTATTCTACAAAAGAAAAACTACTTTTTTAGGTTGCAACACTAAAATCATGAAGCTTTCGTATGACTGTAATTCATTTTTACAGGAAAAAAATTTCTATTTTATAGTAGAAAATGTCTGCCATATCTAGAAGTAAATGTGTAAAACGTGATGTACTTTCTCTAGAAAATATTTTTTCATGAAGAAGATAGTCAAAAACTGTTTTTAGGTTCCTATTCTATATATTCAGATTCAAGAACTCTGAGACAATACCATCACTAATAAAATCTTTTTCTACAGCATTAAAAAAGGTTTTTCACCTTTACCATAGGAATTTATATTTAAATAACCAAGAAGGATACAGATACCTGCTAATAGGTATCTATAGCTTAGAATTTTTTTCAAATTTTTGGTAAATTATTTTTAAGGAAAGCCCAATGAACCTCTTCCTTTTTAAAGTGAAAACATTATTTTCTTCTCTGCTTCATCCCCTCTCCGCCTACAACTTTTATTCTTTTTTTCTAGCAAAGAGATCATAGCTATGAAACAACAAAGGGAAGTATTACCAAAAGCTGTAATGTCTTAGCCTACAATCTGCCTGCTCAAAAAGCTCAAGAATTTAAGTGGCTGTTCAAGAGCTGCTCACAAACTCAGCCAATCAGTAGCCAGCATTCTGATTCCTGCCCAGCAACAGGAGACAGACAATAAGGTCAGGGAAACATAGTTAAAACCTGGATCCGCAATACATTAGTGAGGTTCTTTGTCTAATATAAGTAATCTAGAACATAAACGCATAAAATCTAAATCCATATGATACACATTTAATATATCACGTAAATAAATAAATAAAAATAACACCTTTTATGCTATTTCAATTTATCTTCCTTTAAATGTCCATGAATGTGTCCAAAAATATAAATCAATTTCCTAACTGGAGAATGAGTCAAACATGGACAATACACAGTAAGAATACACTTCTCTCCCCATGGGTAAGAATCCGCAAAATTTAAATGTATATTTCTTTTTAAAAAAATCCACAATGCTTAACATTTATAAGACATTTGTAACTAAAAATTCAGCAATACCTTAAATCCAAATAATAAGATTTTCATACCCACCTATCACTATTGTTATAGATTTCTGATTCCAAAAATTAATAGTATTCTGGACCCAAAGGTTTACTACAGATAGCATCATAAAGTGTTCTGTTGTCTACTGCACCGAACTGACTTATTTGATTCACCTAATGAAATTAAAATGCCTGACTCTTGACAATCTATATTAAGTGTTGTAAGTACAATTATTACATCTTTTTCTCCCTTACTGCCTTTCACAGCAGGTTATGAGCTCTCCCCTTTTGAAGCAATAAAGCTAATGTGTGGATTACAACAGTAAATATTCATGTAAATTGAAGGGAAATTTTTCCTATACTACATCATTCTGCAGTCCTTTAAACATAAAATTATTTTAAAAAAATAGGAAATCTGTCATCTGAGTATTTTTTTCTCAAATTCACTACCTATCAGATTTTCTTAGTAAACAAGTTTTAAAAATAAACCTCATTTTTTTTCTCCTTCAGTTACAGATGAACCTTGTAATTTTTCGAACATACCCAAGAGGGAGCTTGCTGCAGCCATACTCTTAGTTTATATAATCTCCCCATAGGAAAAATAAATCAGCAGCTGCTTCAGTGCTTCGTCCTGTGAGAGAACTGAAATTCACTGTCTGATTGGCTCAAAGCCGTAGTTGTCTGAAACCAATCAGATATCAGCATCACAAACCTCACCCAGCAACAAGGGAAGCAGATGAGGGCAAGTACTCTACCAAGAATCCAAACAGTGTGAAAATACAGGTGAAGGATTATACTGAAACATATTTGATGAAACGGAAACATACTCACAATATACTCCCAGATTTATAGTTTGAGTAAGTCTACTGTAGGGTTCCTCTGATGAATAAACAAGGGTTTGTACTACTGCTTTCCAAGAACAGTGAACAAAACAATAGGAAGTACCTGGGTTGTTAAGTCAAAACATAACACAGACACACACAAACACTACCCTAATTCAAAGTTATGAATACCTGATGAAGTGTACTTAAAAATGAAACTTAGCACAAACTTGCAAAATAGGAAGCAAAGCCATTTAAGTGGACTTGACATTTCTATCTTTGACACAAGCATTCCAAGTACACTCATGCTGTTAACTGGCATTAGTATAACATTATTCTGAATAATGGGATGCTGGAAATAATTTTTACTCAAATTTGAGCTTTCATTAAATGGCTTAAATAAATATTGGTCAATAGGACTAATAATAGCTTACTCTTAAATAATCACTTTATGCTCACGATTCCTAACCTCTTTAGAAACACAACTCTGCTACTTGATTCTTTTAAGAACCCATTCTCCATTGAGAAGTGTGATTTTATTTCACACACCCAAATTTTACTTGAGAATTCTGTAACAGTCCTGAAAATAAAATCAGGAAGAATATGCAGTGTGTTGCACAATAAATATTTAAATCTGCTTTACTGTTCACTACCCATTGAGACTGGTAAACCTGATAATGCAATGGTCCATCCACTTTGATACTTATCTGCACAAATTTAGTATAAAGATTTTCCAAATTTTTATCTTAAATACTGGATACATCTCTGCTAATAATTATTTTTCTAAAATTTCAGTAAAATATAATCACTACTCTCACTACTTCTGTTTAAAATCCCACAAAGATTTTCATCATGTTCCCATATTCTCTTGCTTTCTATAGGTTTTCTCTCCCAGTCACTTCCAAAGCACAATATTTACTTTAGGATCCAGAATCCCCTGTAGTTCACAATTCTTCAGTTCTACTAATGTTATTGTTCTTCTCTCAATTGCCTAAAAACACCTTCAACAGCTATCCTAATATCTTTAAAAAAATATTAATTGGTGAAATCTGTTATCTAACACTCATTCAGTAAAGTATTAAGTGATCATAATATTTGACACCTCAACAAAGAATCCCTTCTACCTGTCATTAACCTACAGATACCAGCTGGAGTATCAAAATGAAGTATCTCCCAACTAAATTTTTAAAAAATAATCAACAAAGGAAACAGGGAGTTTGCTTTATCAACAATTCCCTGGACAAAGTGGGATCAAATCATTCGAATTCTTGCAATTTTGGTTATATCAAAACCAGAATGGTCACTACAGTCTAACTTGTTACATTCACGGCTATTTTTGAGAAATTCTAGGGTAGTCTACATGAAAAAATGCAAGATGCCCCAAAATCCCTTTTCCAAGGGATTTCCAAATATTCCAAGTATATTTTGGGGATCATTCTGTTATATAGGCAAATTAAAACTAATTGACCTGATCCAACAACTGCAATTTTAAAATACATTTATCAAATTACACCCCCTTAGAAAATTAGCCAGTTACCTTATTCATCAGGGCCCTATCCACTAGCTTGGCCCACTTACCAAACTCTACCACCTATGCAGGTAATAGTGAAGTTACAGAAGTCCATGTATTAACTTCTTCAGGAATTTAAACCAGTTGTCCAAATGTATTTTTCACAATTGGCTTGGGTGAATTAAAACACACAGAATGATTTATAAGAAGTTGAAAGATGTAAATCCTTTAAATGCTAGGAAACAGCTCTAACTTTTCTTAGTGACCCAATCTAAGGAGAAAGAGTGAAAGCTTACTTTCTGTTTATTAGCCAGCTTTCACTAAATAATATTGGGGCAGCAACCCACATCCTCAAAATCTTACTGGCTAATAATATTCTTCTTCTTTCTAGGTCATTGGCTGAAGGAGCAGCACCCTCACCCCAAATTTAAGTCTTGTGGCAAAGGGAAAAGACCACAATGACAGAACGATACAATATACCAGGGTTTTAAAGCTATCTCTTAGACACAGTATACACCACTTTCACTCACAGTCTATTGGTTAAAGCCACATTAGACATTAAGGGGGTGGAGAAGTAAAAAGCAACCACTGGGAAACACTTCATGTTGCATGGCAAAAGGCATAAATACGTAGTCTTCTTACAGGAAGAAAGAAAAATGGTGAAATATCATATAATCTACCATGCTTTAAAAATACATAATTATAAAAAGCTTGGCCTACCAAGGATTTCTAAACTAAAAAAACTGGGTCTACTCAATGTCTGTTCTAACATTAGCTAACAGTCGAGATAGGATAAATCACCCTAACTCTCTAGATTTCATCTCAAGTGTAAAACTGAGGAGATCAGATGCTTGCTAAATTCCATTCTAGCTCAAAGTTTATATTACTTTACAAATGTCTAGCTATACTGATGCTCTTTTATAATTCAGTTTTCATTATAAAATACTGTGAACATGCAAAACATAATGACCATGTGTGTACCCATCACCCAGATAAACTAGAAATAAAAAACAAAGCCCTCAGTATAACACTACCAGCCAGCATGTTCCTCCTTCCCCATCCCCAACTCCTTAACACAAAATTAAGCATAATCTTGAATTTGATGTTTATTTTTTTTAGGCATGCCTTATACATTTTCTACATTATAAATTCCCGTTTGTTAACTAAACAACATAAAGGGAGAAAAAGACACTGACACTTATCAAGGGGCAATTACATGTCAGACACTATACCAAGTCATATTCTTTTCTCATTTATTTAAGTGACAACTTACATCAATTCATGTTTACATATGATCTGAACGAATACATCAATAATCATGCTGCTATCACGCATTTCTTTACACAGTAATTTTAGCTTGGTAAGGTCAACCAGACACCCAATTCAGTACAAAGTTGTTTTCATTAGCACTGACTGCCCTTCTTATACATTTCATCCTTTAAATTTCGCTACCAAGGGGTGTTCTATTTTCTCAGAATGTTAAGCAATAAATAAACAACAGATGATCCTTGAATAACATAGGTGTGAACTGCACGGGTTCACTCACATGCAAACTTTTTAGAGTATAGTACTGTAAATTTATTTTCTTTTCCTTATGATTTTATTTCCTTTTCTCTAGCTTTACTATAAAAATACAGTATATGATATACATAACATATAAAATACGTGGTCATTGACTGTTTATGTTATCAGAAAAGCTTCCAGTCAATAAACAGACTATTAATATTTAAGTTCTGGGGAAGTCAAAAGTTATATGCAGATTTTTTACTGCATTAGGGATCGGCACCCTATCAACCCACACTGTTCAAGAGTAAACTGTATATGGTATTTGCCACAATTTTCTTCTCTATCTCTTTGAAAATGGGGAAATCATTCAATATAAGACTTTCCACAGAGTAAATGCAGTCTGAGAGAAGACTCTTAATTTTACCAACCTGCACACTAGGTCATATATTAGCCACAACAATAC